TGATGTAATAAACACGCTCGAGGCTTCAAACACGTGATTTGAATGAAGAAATAAAAAATGAGTTTGCCAGCTGATCCGGCATCATTGCCTATAATTGCCCCATCTTTGGTTGCTTGTCATGAGCTGTTGGCAATTGTTAAAATTAGCTTTACAGTCTGCCATGGATTAGTAGCAAGTGTGGTAAATGAGGACTCACTCTTAATGAAACTAATTTGTATTTGGAAATATAACTACATTTATTGCTCCCATTATTTAAATGCACGTATGATTGTTGAGAGTAAAAATGAAACTTTAAACTGAAGTTTTAGAAATGCTAGCTGAAAAATAATCTTTTAAGGAGGTGATCCTTTTTCAAGTGGTTTTCCAGTGTCTTACGAGCATCTTGGGAAGCATTTCAGAAACAAATCAGAAATACTTAAAATTAAAATGTAAGGATTTCAAAATTGACAATGACACAGGGCATCATGTCGCATTGCTGATTAGCTTCTTCTGGAACCAGGTCTGTGACAACGTGCTGTCTATTTCATATTCCTGTCTATTTCAAATCCGGGGATTTTCTCTGAACATCTCGGGGGCTGTCCAGACTTCCAGAACAGCCTTCCCCACGGCACCGCATACATCTGTTCACTGTCTTTCTCCTCCTTTCACCTCCAATCTGCTTCAGAGCAGGGCCTGGTCTTCCCATTTTTATCTTTTCTAATTGGGGGCCTGATTTAAAGCAGACCTTAGTGAACGTGGGCTGAATGAATGTATGCATGTATGCATGAATTTGGAGAAGTTCCCTCTAGTGTGGAGCTCACAGTTTCTGCATGAAGCGGGGCCACCTTGTAGCAAAGATATGCCTCACGCTGGGTTTGATTTGGAGAGAACTAATTTTCCAGAACATCACCATCTGAGGGCCCTCTGCTTTCTGGTCATTTGCAATCTCTCATGTCCTTTCCTTGCAGCCAGGGTCTCAACCTCCCATGATTACCTTATTTTCCTCCATAATCAGCATCCAGTTCCTCATTACTTTTAGCTGATTTCTGCTAGAGAACTATACGTTTATTTTGGCTCTCTCCCTACTGTCTCGCCACAGGAAAGGGGAAAGACCTCCTCTTTTTGCTTTACGTTTGAAGAATACTTGGAAGATTTTTCTTTGTCCCTCGATGTTAGAGAGACCCATACACATGGGTGCAGGGGTGTATTCTGGGATGACAGAGGTAGAAACAGAAAAGCCTGCCAAACGACTGTCAGGTAATCAAAGCTAATCCAGCGATCCACTCACACATCAAATGAGTAACTTGATTTACATTAGGTATCAATGTGGGGTGACTGTAGGAATATGGAAGGTCAGAGCTGTGGGGGTTGAAGCAACGGGAGAATCTCATCACACACAAGCATGTGCCCTTTACAGAAACAGACAAGGAAAGCAGAATTAGCCAGGAATAGCAGGGTTCTCATGATTCCACCCAGGGAGCTGATGGTCTAGAGTGAGCAGGAGGTAGAGGGGCTAATCGGTCAGTGTCTCGAAGGGTCTCACCTTCCACCATGCCTCTCCTGTGGTCAGCATCTGCCCACCGTGAATGTGGAAAGAGAAGTCTTATTCATTAACAGGACCCCTGCACTTAACACCAACCCAGCAATCCCACTCCTAAGTGTTACCCTAGAGAAATGAAACTTATGTCCTCATAAAAGCCTCTGTGAGTGTTTATAGGCACTTTATTCATAATCAGCTGGAACAACCAAGTGTCCTTCGGAGTGTGGATGGCTAAATCAGGGCCCCTAAATGTAGGCAATCTCGACTGGTGTTCTCCTGAGGAGGCAGCGGGCCATGGTCATTTTGAACAAACTTGGTGAATAAGTTACCTATTGAATGATGAATCACCCTAAAACTTAAAGGCTTAGAACAGAAACAATGGTGTATTTTGCTCAGGGATCTGCAGTTTTGGCAGGTTTGGTGAAAACAGCTTGTCTCTGCCATACATGGTGTCAGTGTCTTGACTGAGGCAAAGGCTCAGTTTCTAAGATGGCTCATAAGCAAGATGGCTGGCAAGTTGGTACTGGCTATAGGTTCCTCTCCACATGGGCCTCCCTTTGGGGCTGCTTGAGCTTCCTCTTGGCATGGTGGCTAGGAACCAAGAACAGGCATCCCAAGGATCAAGAAGTAGATGCTTCAGTTTCTTGAGGCCCAGGTCCAGAAGCTGGCACTGTGTTATTCCACCATATTGTATTGGTCAGGCAACCATGGAGCCCAGATTCAAGGTGGTGATGTAGACCCCACCTTTCAATGGCAGGAGTGTCAAAGGATTAGGAGGCCATATTTCAAAGCCATTATCCTTACCATTTACCTTCTGCCCTACTAGAGACCTTAACTCCTGAGGGAGATGTGCTTCCACTGAGATAGATGCTCCCTGAATGCTGTGCCCTCTACTCTTCCCTCTACCTCCCACCTTTCACTGCTCTCAAAGGCCCATACCCATCCCTTGCCCCAAGCTCCTTGTGGGATTCTAGCATGAGCATGGGAACCTCACATAGTAAACAGTAATGTTAGGCACTCTTCTGTCTTATTTTTCCCACTTTTGTAAGCTAGATCTTCCTTGTTTGAGCATTGTTGGGACTGTGGTAGCTATTTTTAGAGTGATATGAAAATCTTTACTATTTTGACAGTGGAGGGGGATGGTAGAAGAACACAGGAAGGAACTAGAAGGAACACAGGTGTGCCAGGAGTGAATAAGGTAGGGCCCTCACCACAAAAGAGGAGGAGGAACTAATTCACACTAAGGTTTTATTGACTCACAATTGCTTCATATGTCAGCCTTCTCAGAGCGAGTCGTGCTATAAAAGCAGTTGCTTTACCAGTGTTGCACGTATTCCAAAGAAATGAATCCCTAAGTTTGAGACCTTGAGGATTCACCCATACTGCTGTTTTGCTGCAAGCTGGAACTGTTTATCTTTTCTGTGTCAGATCACATGCATTATTTACCCAGAACCTTGTGATACAAGCACAGTGCCCTTTGGGGTGAACTTGGGCAGAGATCTTAAGTTTGGGACAATCTGACTGAAACCTTAAACTCCAAGTTTAAAATCGGGAGAATTTTTCTGACGCTTCTTGGAACACCATCCCCCACCTCCTTCTACCTCCTTAACTTTTTCGAGTCTTTTTGCTCATCTTGGTAATCCTCTCCTCTTTTTTCTTGATTGTCAGGGAACTTGTCCTTTATAGAAAATAATAAATTATACTAAAATGTTAGTGGCTACCATAAGCTTAGTTTGTTGCTCTTCCCATAGAGATATCTGTGGTTTCAAAGGAGATCCTGAGGGGCAACGATTCTGATTTCAAAGAAATGAATCTCTAAAGCTAGAATTGACCTAATAGGATAACAAGAATGGGAGCATTATTGAGGGAGATGATTCTTTTTTTGAGGGCCCCAAACTCTCAGTCTCTCTTAGGGAGGTAGGTGTGTAAGTGACTTACTTGGTAAGCCTCTGGGTTATTTCCAATTCTGTTCGGGTGGTAACAGTGTTCATCTTGCTAGGTCACCTGTTCCCCAGTACACAGGAGCCTTCCTGTCCACTTCTCTTCTGCTTAGCCTCAGCAGATGCCACTTGGCTTGCTTTTTAGTAGTTATATATGCAGCCTCTGTATATATCAGCTGTTCTATCTGCAGACCTACAGAGTATTTTACAAGTAATCAGTTCATGCAGATTGCACATAAATCACGTCTGCCCTGGCCCTTTGGACACTAATGTTCCCTTATTAAGGCATAAGTAAGCCTTCCTGTTCTCATCCATCCTTCCAGACTTTTTTTAATTACTGAAAAGTATAGCCTGGTTGTCACGATACCACTCTCTTCCACTGCTCCCTTCCCCCTAAACACTCATTGCTTTTCTGAGAGTCGTTTTGTTTTTCTGGAACTTGCCAGTTTGCCCTAGGAAGCTGGGTACCTTGTAAATGGATTAAGCAAAAGGAAATTCTTATCTCTAAAAGGAAGCAGTCACCACGTTTCTGTTTGTGATATTCTTGGCCAGTTCATATTTTTGTGAAATATGTTCTGATGGCAGCTCTGGTACCCCAGAGAAAGGGGGAAGTACTGGTCATGCGCCGTGCACAAAAGGAAAATATCTTCTGCTGATGTCTGGGGAGTGGATAAAAAGTAGTTTCATGGATGTCAATCTGCCTAAATAAACAGAGAACCCTCCTTATTTTTAATCTCTCAAAAGGCTGGGAGCTGAGCCCACCCTAACATGCACATTATCCTAACATTTCTCCATTTTTCTTTCAAACCGTCGCCACAGATTTTCGCTCTAATACACGTGGATTTCTGCTTCCAATTTCTCTGGCCCTGCTATTAGTGTTCAAGCCAGTCTTCATTTTGGTCTAAAATGACTCTCTAAGAGATGGAAGCATACTATTATTTCCTGTGGTTTGGTCTAAAAAGAATAAAAGGGGGACTTTTAGATGAGGCCCATAAAAATACCACCGTCTACTTTTAGAGATGTTTTATGAATATAAATTCCTGTCTAAATAATTACTGTTGGAGTTTGGAAATTGTGCCAACAACTTATTATTCTCTCTTAGCAATCACAGCAAAAGTGACACGTCTCTTGTTTTGTTTTTTCTTTTCAGATGGGCTGACACTATAATGTACCATATTGCTTTTAAGATCTCATTTTTTAATCATGTGTACAGATTAGAGTGAACCTGAGGCGCTCTGAGGTACTATTTTCCCCAGCTAGGGGAAAAAAGATAGAAAGCAGGTATGGTTTTGGTGTCATTATAGAAGTGCTGGATGGCTGGTAATGGTGTCCTCACAGAAGGAGAAGCCAGCCTGAGCCCTGTGCACAGCTCCTCCGTGTTGGGGTCAGACACTGAATTATACTCTGGGTTCCATAGAGGCTGAGGTCCTCCATGTAGTCTTCAGGGACATATGGGGTCTTTTATACTGTGGTGTTTAAAAACAAAATCTCAGGGGGAAAAAAAATCACTCTCTTGTCCTTTTTTTGGTTTCTGCTGGCAGCTGCTGAAATGGGTTGCGGATTGAACAAGTTAGAGAAACGCGATGACAAACGGCCTGGAAACATCTATTCGACTTTAAAGAGGCCTCAGGTGGAAACCAAGATAGATGTGTCCTACGAATACCGCTTCCTGGAGTTCACGACCTTGAGTGCTGGTGAGTACAGGCGGCCCTAGCTCCCAGTGGCTGGAGAGCTCAGACCCAGCCCCATGCCGGAGGTCCCCTCCCACCCTGTCCCAGGAGGAGGAGGAGGAGATGAGCGGGGTTGGGGGGGGCGGCTATGGGGAACGGAAAAGTTGGACCTTTGAAAAGGTACTGCTTACAGAAATCCAGATTTTTATGTGGAACTTTTCACTTTTTAAAAGATAGTAACTAATTTATAATGTAATAAGTTAAAAGCAGGCGTGAGTCAACTCGTACAGACATTGCAGGAGGGCCGCGTTTAGCCCACAGGCCAACTAGTTTGCAGACTCTGTATCGTAGCCAGCTGTGTGCAAAAGGAAAATTTACCTTATCCCCTATTAGTGTGCTTGTCCGCCCAAATTTACCTGCCTGTTGTCTGGCATCTTTCAAGAGTGCTTGTCCATCCAGGCTTGGCTTCCCCTTGTCTGAGCTGCAGGGTGTCTGGGTCACCCCACTAACAGTGTCACAGTGGCCCTGGGGTGACTGGCAAGTGATAGTGTTTTCACCCAGAGCATTTGATGAGCACAACTGTGTGCACAATGTTGGGCTGTTGCTGTAGGGGGATCGTGCAGTCTGTTCAGGTTTCCTGGAGCCTCTTACCTAGTGCGAGAGAAGACTCACACTCATGAAAAAAACAAAGCAACAAAAAACCTCAACAGACTATAATTTTAAGTAATTGTAAGCATCTGCTCACATCATGATCCCAGCGTCCTGGGATCGAGTCCCGTGTGAGACTCCTTGTTGGGCAGGAAGGCTGCTTCTCCCTCTCCCACTTCCCCTGCTTGTGCTCCCTCTCTCTCTCTCCTCTCAAATAAATAAAACCTTAAAATAAAATGTGTCTTCAGAAGTGGAAAGATCATTCTTTTGGTGTAGGAGGCAGTTCCTAAAAGTTTCACACAAACAGGAGTGCTAACTAACTCAAACATCTTACCACTTTCTTCCTGGGCTGCTGGGCATATTTTAAGCTTCTGTTAGCAGAGAAGAGAATTTGTGGGAAAAGCCCTCATAGTTGGGGTTTGAGTCTGGCTCTGCTGTGGAGTAACTGGGCTTCGGTCAGATGAGCACATGAATACCCGCCTCGCAGGGCTGCTGTGGAGACCAGAAGAGGACGGGCCTGAGAAGCTCTTAGGACAGTACAGGCATGTAGTGGAGCAGCTAGTGTTTTGTCCACTCCTGTTCCTGCCGTGACCGTCTCTGTGCCTAGCCTCCCACTGCCTCTTGATCCCTGAGAGACATGGCTGGCTGGGGGTCTCCGCAGGGACTTTCTGTCTACCCCTGCGTGTCACACACACTGAGCCCTGTGTCTTTCTCATCAGATGGGCTTCTTGCCGGTGCCCTGAGTAAATCATGTCACCACCGTCCTCTCAAACAGACTTGGCACCTTAGTCATCAGTGACCATGCCTTGTCCTTACCCACAATTTCCATTGTGTCACCCAAGCCTGTTGAAACTGCTTCTGAAAATGCCTGTAATGTAGCTGATGTAACAAAAGCGAATCTGTACACAAAATCGTTGGGAGCATTAGATCACCCATTATTTGGTGAACATTTGAGTGCCTGCACAGTTCAGGCCTTATAGAATGACGAAGGAGAAAACCAAAGTATATGTAGGAGAAAAGGACGAAAGGAAATAGGACAACATGTTAAGTATTGATTGTTAGGAAGCTGAGAATATGGGGGGATTCTTTTTTCACAAATATATATATTTTTTGCATCCTTTATTATTAAGAAGAGTATGTTTTACTCACAGAGACCTTCATGAAGCTGTGCCCTCCTCTGTGTACGCATTTCTCTGTCACTGACACCGGAGTCATCTCCCTCACCTCCTGATTTGTTTGCTGCCTTGCTGCACTGTGCTTTCTTTGATTGAATTACCTTTTGTTTTCTGATTATGAAATGAACATACCTCCATTATAAAAAAGTTAGGAAAATGTCGGACAAATCCCAACTGATCTCTTTCTTCTACCCTTGTCCCCTAGAGATCATGTCACTTTTCCACTCGAAGCCCTGCTGTGGCTCCCCTCCCTGTTCTCCATCCTCATGCCCCGGATGTTTGTCCTGTGTGTTCTGCCATTCCAGCCTTCTTGTTTCTTGAACCCTCCAGGCCTCCTCAGGGCCTTTGCCCTACTTGTCCCTCTGCCTGGGAGTCCTCCCAGATACACCCTTGGCTCAAACCCTTAACTCCCTCTTTTCTTTGAAACAAAACCTTCCTATTTAAAATTTCTAGTTACCCCCTGACTCTCCATTCCTTTGCACTCTTGATTTTCTCCATGACACTTCCTATCATTTAACATGCTGTATACTCCACTTACTATTCTTTGTTGCCATATTTGTGGTCTGCCTTCTTTCATTAGATGGTAGAATCCTTCTAATAAGTTCAGGGTTGTGTCTGTTTTACCCTCTGCTGTACCCTCAATAGTTAGAACAGTGCCTGGCACATAGTGGATAATCAATAAATATTTGTTGAATGAATACTTAATATATATTTTCATGCCCTGCTTTTTTGTAGCTTAACATTGTACAGTGAGGCAGTACACTGTTGTACCATATGTTCTCAAAATATGATTTAATGGCTATATATGATTTAATCACTCCACATACCATAATTTATTTAATGGTCTTCTTTTATTGGACATTTAAGTTATTTCAGGCTTTGGGCTATTATAAATAATGCTGTGATAAGCAGCACTGTCCATAAATCTTTTTGTGCATTTTTGATTATTTCCTCAGGAATTACTGAGTTGAAAGATATGAATGTCAGGACTCTTGATAAATTGCCAGATGGCCCTCTAGATTTGTGTAAAACACAAATCTGATCATGCTGAATCCTTCAGCTCGTTCCCTTGACGCCCTGGAGAGCCCTCCTGGTGCTCAGGGCCTCCCCCAGCTCAGCCTTGCCCTTTGTGGACCCTTCCCTACTCCTGCCTTGGAGGAGCGGGCTGTGTCCCCCACCCTCAACCCAGCTTCCACCCTTACACAGGGCCCGCCCCACCCCTCATTCCTTCCAGAGTCCCACCCATCGGAAACCGTTCTTTCCCGACATCCATCCCATCGCCATTACTCTCTTCTGCATGCCTCCCGTTTGTCAGTACCATCCTTACGACACTTTTATTACATCATACATTAAACGTATTTGTGTTTTCTCGAGGGCAAAGATCAAGCCTTGCTTATCTTTCTGTGCGTCTTTCTTGTTCACAGTTTTTAGCTGAGAAGAACGTGTCCTAAGTAACTGGGTTTGAGTAAACCAAAGTGTTACATAGGCTGACTTGCTTCCCTGGCAGCCCGTCAAATTCTTTTCCAGAAGTTCTAATGGGATCACTTGCTATTGCTCCAGAATGGAGCCAGCATTGGTTGAGAACATACTATGTGCTCAGTCCTGTGATGGCTCATTATGTCTTCCCAACTTTTTCAACTTTATCGAAATATAATTTAAGCATATTACACTGCATGTATTTAAAATGTTCAAACCCAGGAAACTATGACCTCATCACAGTTGCATAGATGCAAAACATTTCCGTCTCCCACAAAGTTTCTTCATGCCCTTTTGTAATCACGCCTATTTTTTGCATCCCTCCTTCCCCAGACAACCAATGATACACTTTCCATCACTGATTTTATTTTCTAGGATTTTCTATAAGTGGACCCATGTTGTACATACTCTTTTTGGTATGTCTTTTTCTACTCGGCTTACTTATTTTGAGATTCATTGTGGGTTTTTTTTTTTTAAGATTTTATTTATTTATTTGACAGACAGATCACAAGTAGGCAGAGAGGCAGTCAGAGAGAGAGAAGGGAGGAAGCAGGCTCCGTGCTGAGCAGAGAGCCCAATGCGGGGCTCAATCCCAGGACCCAGAGATCATGACCTGAGCCGAAGGCAGAGGCTTTAATCCACTGAGCCACCCAGGTGCTCCTCATTTTTTTTTTTTTTTAATTTTTAAAGATTGTTTATTTACTTATTTGAGAGAGAGAGAGAGAATGAGAACGTACACACAAGTGGGGAGGAGGGGCAGAGGGAGAGGGGGAAGCAGACTCCTCACTGAGCAGGGATCCCAATGCGGTGCTCGATCCCAGGACCCCAGGATCATGACCTAAGCTGAAGGCAGTTGTTTAACTGACTGACCCACCCAGATGCCCCATCTGTATTGTTTTGTCTATAGTAGTTCACATTCTTATTTTATGACTGATAGCATTCTCTTGTGTGGATATACCACAGTTTGTTTATCCATTCACCTGTTAGAGAACATTGGGTCATTTCTGTTTGGTTTATTACAAATTAATATTCATCTTTGTGGGGCTTCTTATGTCATTTTATTCTCACAGAAACCCAGCGAGATATATGAGTGCACGCATTCCTTTTCTGCAGATGGGTAACCAACACTCAGAGAAGTTAAGTAACTTTTTTGAAGATGCAGTGCTAGGAAGTGATGGGGGTGAAATATAAACTTTGACCTCTTGGGCCCCGGAGCTCTTGTGCCTCATAAATGGCAAGGCAGTAGACAAATAGGCTTTACCACCAAATAGAATGTTCTCTTTAGAAAATTTGTGTTATGATGTTGAGGGCCATAAGGCTATTCCTCTTCCATGCAGTTTTGGTGCCGTGGAAGATTTTTAAGTAGCACTTGGTAGATTTCATTCTCATGGAGAAAATGCTCATTTAACTAATAAATTTTAAGTCGGAGAAAGGGTGTAGGCCCCTCCTACCCAGTGGCTTAGGCAGGAAGGGGACATGTGCACTTTTATAAAAGTCAAAATCAGAATTCACACTGTTCCATTTGTCTCTTACTTAGAGCTCAGTGCTACTGGGGATGATACTGGAAGCCTCAACCTCGTTTGTTGGGCTGACTGAGGTGAAAAGCAGTGGGATCCTTGAAGTGAAGCACAGAAGCTACCAAAAATCTCAATTCTGAATGATTTGATTGGGTCTTAAATTTTCAGTAAAGTCTGGTCACCAAGGGATGAACATGCCCTTTGATGGGTTTCATCACAGATAGAGGCC